TACGCAAGACTTGATATCTGTTGGTCAGGTAGTAAGCTACTGAACCAAGCAAGTGTATATTCAGAAATGAAGAGGTCTCATATTTTTAGGGGGAGAATATCATGATTTATACAATCAAAGGCTGTACTAATGTCCAGCAAAACCATAGTAGAGAGTTCCTGCTTGTCCATGCCAGTAAAGATGGCATCTGTCGCACAAATAAGTGTCGTTTCTGTGGAATGAAAATTCTTATTTCCACTTTGTTCTGCAGGGAGTTGGTTGTTTGTTATTAAGTATGCTGTCAGATGATTCAGCACAACACTTTCTCACCTTTGATAACACTGGTAACAAAGAGATCAATGTGTTATTATAGGTTGTGGGTGGTCTCCCTTTTTGGCAGTAGGTGCTACTTCTGCTTGTTGCCATCCTTCAGGGAAAATGCCACTTGTAAGAGAGATCTTAATTATATGAGTGATCTGTGACGGGATTACCGGCAGCCCATCACATACTCAGGTACACATCATTTTGAGAAGGTAACTATAGAGAGGGTCTGAAGCATCGCAGAATTAACTCGAAAGTGATTGAACAGCATGAAAACATTACTTATCCAGAAAGGTGTGTAGTTTGCTTGTATAAATAAGTGCCTGGAAGATGTAGATAAGAGTAACTGTTTCTATCAGACACCAAAAAAGCAATTCAAAGTTGGCAACAAAGTTTGGTGTACATGCTCTCCGATGGGAAAAATATGTTGAGAAATGTTGTTTGGATCTGTGTAGTCAAGCAAATATTGAAGGCTGTCACACAAATCAGTGTCTGAGGGCCACCACATGCTCATTAGGATTAGGAAAGGGACTGCCAAAAGGGCTGATCATGAATCGCAACGGTCACAGAGATGTAAAATCTCTTCATGACTACCAAAGAGAAAGTGGTAGAGAACGTGAAGCTGTTTGTGATGTGTTACAAGGCTCCAAAAGTTCATTTCTAGATAAATCACCCCAAAAAATGTTAAAGCAGAGGGCCAAGAAGGGAAGTTTACTTTCAACAATTGTAAAGTTGTCTGTAAACTTAAAGAATAGCATGAGAAATTTTCACAAGTTGTCAAGCATTTATTAGGGACCTTTAGCATCACGTTTTTCGTGGGAAACTGCAAACCGCAAACCGCAAAATGTCACGTGACCACGGCCTTGCGGTCACGTTTGCAGTTTGCAGTTCACGTTTGAACCGCAGGAAGGGCTTCCAGCGGTAAGTGATTTACGGCAAGGTTTTTTGCCACAAAAAAATGTACAGCCTCGCGTTTAAAGGTATGAACTAGCTTTTTATATCCGTTTGCAATGTGTTTGTTGGATTTTTGATCTCGAATCAATGAATTATTGCAGAGTTTTGGGCGATTAAAGTGATGCACTTCGACTTGATGAAAACAACATGGCGGCCGTCAACAATTAACGCGTAGTTCAAATCAATTTTATATTGGTTTCTGCCGTACGAACAAAGGAAAGTATTCTGTTCCAATCCAGTGTTAAATTTTTTATTTCTATCTTGTTCAGTTACTGAATTCATATCTTAACTCAGTCTCTGTTTAGTTCCTATTTTTAACGTATCACTCCGCGAATTTCATTTTATTTTGGTTATTTCTTTGAGACTGGGGAGCCCAGGCTTCTGGTTTCTTCGGGGTTCCCTTGCAACCTTACAATTCCTATATGTATTCTTGTATTGTATTATATTTTGCCTAAATAAAAATGAACTGAACTGAACGCCTTGCTAAAGTGTGAAATCTCGGCAACGCGAAACTGCAAACGCGTAACTGCGGTTTGTGGTTTGCGGTTTACCTCATGCTAAAGGTCTCTATTAGCAATTTGCAGCAATTATTCGTTTGTATTTTCCAGTATTGATTGTACATCTACCAATCTGGCATGTCACGATCCTTTAAAGAATGTTCTGTAAGTATTTACTTCAAGTTCATTAAATTACAATTCAAAATTCTGATTTGTGAGGTTTCACTGGAAAGGTTAATTATGTTGGGGGTATATGATGAGGGGAATATGAGCAGGGGAACTATATATTGCATTTTAGTATATACTAAAACAGTGGATAGTGTTTTTCACGAGCTCTGATTGGCTACTCAATCAGTGAATATCCAGCACTATTCACCAATTCACCACCAGTTCCTCCGAGCAAGTGACAGCAAACTCGCGTAAGTTGCAAGCAAAATACCTTGAACATGCCGGCGATGCGAGCGAGGAGGATAGTGACATTGTTTTAACTGCCCTTGAACTGACGGACGACCTAAGTGGGGTTCTTAAAGGCATTCTGGAAAAGTTGAACAAACTGGACCCGATTGAAGGACCAGTTAAAAAGATTGAAGGCAGCCTGGTCAAATTAGAAGAAAGAACGACGAAGCTCGAAGCTTTGGAGAAAACGGCAAGAGAAGACATTGATAACTTAAAGGCAAACCACGTTATTATCAAAAAGAAACAAGACAACACCAAAGATGCTTTAGACAAGAAAATCAAAGGCCTGGATG